TCAAACCAAGAATGATCAAAAGAAATAAAGAAGGCCACTACATACTACTTAGGGGAAACATAAAACAGGAAGAGGTAGTAGTCATAAATATGTACCTAACAAACACGGAAGCACCCAAGTATACAAGACAAATCTTAATGGACATGAAAAGTCTAATATCCAATACCACAATCTTAACAGGAGAACTTAACAATACCTATCCCAAAAAGATAGGTCAAGCAGAAAAAAATTAGCAAAGAAGTAGCAGAACTGAACCAGAACTTGGAACAAATGGACTTAGTGGACATAACAGAGTGTTCCACCCAACCACAGCTGAATATACATTTTTTTTCAGCTGCACATGGACCATTTTCTAAAATACATCATATACTAGTACACAGGTCATGCTTAAGTATACTCAACAAGACAGAAACTATCCCATGAATATTATCTGAACACGGTGTAATGAAACTGGAAATGACAAAAGGAACCATAAAACCCCATAAATGCATGGAAATTAAACAACAACTGCCTCAGCAATCAATGAGTTACTGATCAAATTAAACAAGAAATAAAATTGATAAGCCCTACGCAAACCTGAACAAAAATAGGAAAGAAAATACACAAATGCAAACAATAAGGAACTAAAAGGGTAAAATTACCACAGACGCAATGGAAATTCAAATATTTTCAATAGTTACTTTAAGAATCTTTACTCTCACTGAATTGAGGACACAGAAGAAACAGTCAGATTCCTTCAAAGTTACAAATTACCAAAACTGAATCAAGAAGATATCAGAACTCTCCATAACCCAATAGCAGCCAACAAAATTCCAAATGTTCCCAAAAACCTACTGTCAAAATTCCTGGTCCTGATTGAGTCACAGCTGAATTTTACAGGAAACTTACAAAAGATGTAATTCCAATATTCCTCAAACTCTTCAATAAAATTGAAAAGGGAACAATCCTCTCAAAATCATTCTGGAGTGAAGTATGATACTAAAACCAAAACCAGAAAAAGATGCACCTAAAAAGATAAGTACAGGCCAGTCTCCCTCATGAAGACAGAGGCAAGAATCCTCAATAAAATCCTAGCAAATAGAATACAGCAACTCATTAGGAGGATTGTACAGCATGACCAGGTAGGATTCATCCCAGAGGTGCAATGGTCATTCATCATGTGCAAATCTATAAAAATAATACCCTATATCAATAGAGCCAAATCCAAAAACCACATGAAAATCTCAATTGATGCAGAAAAGGCTTTTCATAAAGTACAACATGCATTCATGCTTAGAGTTCTACAGAAAATTGAAATTCATGGCCTCTACCTCAATCTGATAAAAGCCATCTATGACACCCCAAGAGATAACATAATTCTAACTCAGGAAAAACTGAAATCTTTTACTCTCAGATCTGGTACAAGACAAGGATGTCCTCTATCACCATTCCTATTCAATATAGTTCAGGAATCATTAGCTAGAGCCATTAGACAAGAGAGAGAAATAAAAAGAACAAGCATAGGTAAAGAAGAAGTTACACTATCATTATTTGCAGATGAAATGATACTGTACTTGGAAGTCCAAAGCACTCCACTAAAAAGTTACTAGCATTAATACACAAATTCAGTAGCACATTACAACACAAAGTCAATACCCAAATGTCAATAGCAATCCTCTACACAGATAACAAACATACAGAAAAGGACCAGCCAAATAGCTCAGCAGATTAAAGCCCCTCCTTGAAGGAGCAGTGGCC